CTCTGGCAGTAAACTCTGCTAGGTAATGCACACTAATTCTCCTTTTTTGACTCAGTATATAATGTTTTCCGCCCAAGATTGGTTCCAGGCGCTAGAGGGATGTATCGTATAGGATTGATGACACAAATTAAAGTTCTAGCACGTAAGAGCGACCGTGAAAACACCAGAAAGCCGGGAGCACAACGAGGCACGCTGACCACCAGTATGTATACCTTACTACCAGCTCTCCCACCAGTATGTATACCTTACTACCAGCTCTCCCACCAGTATGTATACCTTACTACCAGCTCTCCCACCAGTATGTATACCTTACCACCAGCTCTCCCACCAGTATGCATACCTTACTACCAGCTCTCCCACCAGTATGTATACCTTACTACCAGCTCTCCCACCAGTATGTATACCTTACTACCAGCTCTCCCACCAGTATGTATACCTTACCACCAGCTCTCCCACCAGTATGTATACCTTACTACCAGCTCTCCCACCAGTATGTATACCTTACTACCAGCTCTCCCACCAGTATGTATACCTTACTACCAGCTCTCCCACCAGTATGTATACCTTACCACCAGCTCTCCCACCAGTATGCATACCTTACTACCAGCTCTCCCACCAGTATGTATACCTTACTACCAGCTCTCCCACCAGTATGCATACCTTACCACCAGCTCTCCCACCAGTATGTATACCTTACCACCAGCTCTCCCACCAGTATGTATACCTTACCACCAGCTCTCCCACCAGTATGTATACCTTACCACCAGCTCTCCCACCAGTATGTATACCTTACTACCAGCTCTCCCACCAGTATGTATACCTTACTACCAGCTCTCCCACCAGTATGTATACCTTACTACCAGCTCTCCCACCAGTATGCATACCTAAGTAATGTATATTAGAGCTGATTTCCTCTATTCTGTTTATTACAATATACAGTACACTACTGTATAAACATTTAAAAATATACCAGAAATGTTATAAATGGTGCAATGGTGACATTAAAAAAATATGTAAAGATAGTTGACACAAACCCACTACCATTATAGTGCTCCTCACTTAACCCGTAAACGGTCCATTATAGTGCTCCTCACTTAACCCGTAAACGGTCCATTATAGTGCTCCTCACTTAACCCGTAAACGGTCCATTATAGTGCTCCTCACTTAACCCGTAAACGGTCCATTATAGTGCTCCTCACTTAACCCGTAAACGGTCCATTATAGTGCTCCTCACTTAACCCGTAAACGGTCCATTATAGTGCTCCTCACTTAACCCGTAAACGGTCCATTATAGTGCTCCTCACTTAACCCGTAAACGGTCCATTATAGTGCTCCTCACTTAACCCGTAAACGGTCCATTATAGTGCTCCTCACTTAACTCGTAAACGGTCCATTATAGTGCTCCTCACTTAACCCATAAACGGTCCATTATAGTGCTCCTCACTTAACCCGTAAACGGTCCATTATAGTGCTCCTCACTTAACTCGTAAACGGTCCATTATAGTGCTCCTCACTTAACCCGTAAACGGTCCATTATAGTGCTCCTCACTTAACTCGTAAACGGTCCATTATAGTGCTCCTCACTTAACCCGTAAACGGTCCATTATAGTCCTCCTCACTTAACCCGTAAACGGTCCATTATAGTGCTCCTCACTTAACCCGTAAACGGTCCATTATAGTGCTCCTCACTTAACTCGTAAACGGTCCATTATAGTGCTCCTCACTTAACCCGTAAACGGTCCATTATAGTGCTCCTCACTTAACCCGTAAACGGTCCATTATGGTGCTCCTCACTTAACCCGTAAATGGTCCATTATAGTGCTCCTCACTTAACCCGTAAACGGTCCATTATAGTGCTCCTCACTTAACCCGTAAATGGTCCATTATAGTGCTCCTCACTTAACCCGTAAACGGTCCATTATAGTGCTCCTCACTTAACTCGTAAATGGTCCATTATAGTGCTCCTCACTTAACCCGTAAACGGTCCATTATAGTGCTCCTCACTTAACCCGTAAACGGTCCATTATAGTGCTCCTCACTTAACCCGTAAACGGTCCATTATAGTGCTCCTCACTTAACCCGTAAACGGTCCATTATAGTGCTCCTCACTTAACCCGTAAACGGTCCATTATAGTGCTCCTCACTTAACTCGTAAACGGTCCATTATAGTGCTCCTCACTTAACCTGTAAACGGTCCATTATAGTGCTCCTCACTTAACCCGTAAACGGTCCATTATAGTGCTCCTCACTTAACCCGTAAACGGTCCATTATAGTGCTCCTCACTTAACTCGTAAACGGTCCATTATAGTGCTCCTCACTTAACCCGTAACGGTCCATTATAATGCTCCTCACTTAACCCGTAAACGGTCCATTATAGTGCTCCTCACTTAACCCGTAAACGGTCCATTATAGTGCTCCTCACTTAACCCGTAAACGGTCCATTATAGTGCTCCTCACTTAACCCGTAAACGGTCCATTATAGTGCTCCTCACTTAACCCGTAAACGGTCCATTATAGTGCTCCTCACTTAACCCGTAAACGGTCCATTATAGTGCTCCTCACTTAACCCGTAAACGGTCCATTATAGTGCTCCTCACTTAACCCGTAAACGGTCCATTATAGTGCTCCTCACTTAACCCGTAAACGGTCCATTATAGTGCTCCTCACTTAACTCGTAAACGGTCCATTATAGTGCTCCTCACTTAACCCGTAAACGGTCCATTATAGTGCTCCTCACTTAACCCGTAAACGGTCCATTATAGTGCTCCTCACTTAACCCGTAAACGGTCCATTATAGTGCTCCTCACTTAACCCGTAAACGGTCCATTATAGTGCTCCTCACTTAACCCGTAAACGGTCCATTATAGTGCTCCTCACTTAACCCGTAAACGGTCCATTATAGTGCTCCTCACTTAACCCGTAAACGGTCCATTATAGTGCTCCTCACTTAACCCGTAAACGGTCCATTATAGTGCTCCTCACTTAACCCGTAAACGGTCCATTATAGTGCTCCTCACTTAACCCGTAAAGGTCCATTATAGTGCTCCTCACTTAACCCGTAAACGGTCCATTATAGTGCTCCTCACTTAACCCGTAAACGGTCCATTATAGTGCTCCTCACTTAACCCGTAAACGGTCCATTATAGTGCTCCTCACTTAACCCGTAAACGGTCCATTATAGTGCTCCTCACTTAACCCGTAAATGGTCCATTATAGTGCTCCTCACTTAACCCATAAACGGTCCATTATAGTGCTCCTCACTTAACCCGTAAACGGTCCATTATAGTGCTCCTCACTTAACCCGTAAACGGTCCATTATAGTGCTCCTCACTTAACCCGTAAACGGTCCATTATAGTGCTCCTCACTTAACCCGTAAACGGTCCATTATAGTGCTCCTCACTTAACCCGTAAACGGTCCATTATAGTGCTCCTCACTTAACCCGTAAACGGTCCATTATAGTGCTCCTCACTTAACTCGTAAACGGTCCATTATAGTGCTCCTCACTTAACCCGTAAACGGTCCATTATAGTGCTCCTCACTTAACTCGTAAACGGTCCATTATAGTGCTCCTCACTTAACCCGTAAACGGTCCATTATAGTGCTCCTCACTTAACCCGTAAACGGTCCATTATAGTGCTCCTCACTTAACTCGTAAACGGTCCATTATAGTGCTCCTCACTTAACCCGTAAACGGTCCATTATAGTGCTCCTCACTTAACCCGTAAACGGTCCATTATAGTGCTCCTCACTTAACTCGTAAACGGTCCAAACGTATATATACGTTTTTTCAACATTTGAAAGCATGTAAAAAAAGTAGATCTTTTTGTTTTATTATTATCACACTGGCCGATTCCCACCAATCGGCCAGTGTGATAATAATAAAACAAAAAGATCTACTTTTTTTACATACTTTTTGAAAATGTGTAAAAAAACTTTGATCTACTTTTTTTTTTTTTGTTACATTTGAAAATATGTAAAAAAAACTTAGATCTACTCTTGTAACACTACACGTGAACGTAGATCTGCTTGGACCGTTTACGGGTTAATGGCCAATTTGTTTACTGACCTTCTCTTAGGAACGGAACCTCGTCGTTAAGTGAGGAGAAGCTGTATTGAAATATTAAAAAAAAGTTTACATTTTTCAACATCAGACAAAATATAACTTTTTGCAATGACTATTTTGACAAGCTAGTCAAAAATTTTGGTAATCTATCGCTAGAGATGCTACTCAAATTCTGCGACGTGCTTAAGAAAGGTCGCTGTCAAGAACCCTAAAACGATTCATTGTGTTGCTATTCATGATATGGGTGCCAGACTACTCAAATTTACTTAAGTGCTATACTAGGATCATTAAGAACACAAATGCAACTCAGTATGTCGTTAGTCATTATGGAGGAACATTATATGGGGGCCAGACTATTGAAATTTTGCGACATGCTCGAATAATAGCATCAAGATATTCGTTCTGTCGTTACAGTAATAACTGTTGACCAGTAAGTACAACACATCTTGTACTTGCTGACCCCTGACATCAATACCTTGCAGTCCTCCAGCAATGTCATGGCATCTCTCATTGCTGACATCTATTCTATGTATATTCATGCACATCTACATAAAATGTTTGCTATACAGGTATCATACAGGTACCAGACACTACACAGATATACTATCATACAGGCAGCAGATACTATACAGGTATGATACAGGTAACAAATCTACATATATCCATGCACACCTACACAAAATATCTACTATACAGGTATGATACAGGTAGCAGATACTATACAGGTATCATACAAGTAGCAGCCACTATGCAGTACCATGCAGGTAGCAGTCACTATAACCATCACTACTATAACATTACACACTTCATAGACATTTAATAGAGTAATACCCCATGAACAATGGTACGATTGTACCCTGGATGACTTCTCAAGACAACATTAATACCATAACCATGCTGCCTGGAACAGTTGTGGTATTGTTGTATTACTGACCTTAGTAAGTAAAGCTGTTATCTTGTGATCTTTCTCCTCCAGGTCACTGCGAAGCTCTTGTTCCAGGTGAGCCTTGGCTTGCTGTTCCAAGCTGCACTGTTCTCTCAGCTCACTCACCTGCAACCACAGTCAACCAGTTAGTTCAGCACAATCAACCATACACTTACTGATGACTCACCTAGTACCACAATCAACCATATACTTACCAATGACTCACCTAGTACCACAATCAACCATACACTTACTGATGACTCACCTAGTACCACAATCAACCATATACTTACTGATGACTCACCTAGTACCACAATCACCATACACTTACTGATGACTCACCTAGTACCACAATCAACCATACACTTACTGATGACTCACCTAGTACCACAATCAACCATACACTTACTGATGACTCACCTAGTACCACAATCAACCATACACTTACTGATGACTCACCTAGTACCACAATCAACCATACACTGATCACAATCAACCACACACTGATCACAATCAACCACACACTGATCACAATCAATCACACACTGATCACAATCAACCACACACTGATCACAATCAATCACACACTGATCACAATCAATCACACACTGATCACAATCAACCACACACTGATCACAATCAATCACACACTGATCACAATCAATCACACACTGATCACAATCAACCACACACTGATCACAATCAACCACACACTGATCACAATCAATCACACACAATTACCATATTAAACAACCATGGTCATCAAAGCATACATAATTAATTTTATTATTATTCTTAGGGAGCAAGAACAGTTCCTTTGTATAAAGGGGACAAGAAAGTGTAAAAATTATAGAGGAACAAGTGTGTTGAGTATACCTGATAAAGTGTATGGTAGTTATTACTGGAAGAATTAAGAGTAAGACGGAGAGCAGATGAACTAGAAGACTTTAGGAAGGGCAGGGGGTGTGTAAACCAAGTGTTTGAAGTGAAACATATAGGTGAACAGTATTTAGATAAGGGTCAAGAGATATTTGTGGCATTTATGATTTGGAAAAGGCATATGATAGGGTGGATAGGGGGCAATGTGGCAGATACTGCAAATGTATAGAATAGGAGGTAGGTTATTGAAATTATTATTATAATCAAAAAGAAGCGCTAAGCCACAAGGGCTATACAGCAGGTTATTGAAAGCGGTGAAAAGTTTTTACGAGGACAGTGAGGCTCAGGTTAGAGTATGTAGGTGAGAGGGAGATTATTTCCCAGTAAAAGTAGGCCTTAGACAGGAATGTGTGATGTCACCATAGTTGTTTAATATATTTATAGATGGAGTTGTAAGAGAAGTGAATGCTCGGGTGTTGGCAAGAGATGTGAGGTCAAAAGATAAAGAATTTAACACAAAGTGGGAGTTGTCATAGTTGCTCTTTGCTGATGACACTGTGCTTTTGGGGGATTCTGAAGAGAAGTTGCAGAGGTTGGTTGATGAGTTTGGTAGGGTATGTAAAAGAAGGAAATTAAAAGTGAATATAGGAAAGAGTAAGGTGATGAGGATAACAAAAAAATTAGGCAAAGAAGATTGAATATCAGATTGGAAGGAGAGTGTATGGAGGTGAATGTGTTCAGATATTTGGGAGTGGAAGTGTCAGCAGATGGGTCTATGAAGGATGAGGTGAATCATAGAATTAACAAGGGGAAAAAGGTGAGTGGTGCACTGAGGAGGCTGTGGAAACAAAAAAACTTTATCCATGAAAGCAAAGAGGGAAATGTATGAGATACAGTTATACCAACACTCTTGCATGGGTGTGAGACATGGGTTGTGAATGTTGCAACAAGGAGAAGGCTGGAGGCAGTGGAGATGTCATGTCTGAGGGCAATGTGTGGTGTGAATATAATACAGAGAATCCATAGTTTGGAGATTAGGAGGAGGTGTGGGATTACCAAAACTATTATCTAGAAGGCTGAGGAGGGATTATTGAGATGGTTTGGACATGTAGAGAGGATGGAATGGAATAGAATGACCTCAAGAGTATATAAATCTGTAGTGGAGGGAAGGCAGGGGTAGGGGTCAGCCTAGGAAAGGTTGCAGGGAGGGGATAAAGGAGGTTTTGTGTGCGAGGGGCTTGGACTTCCAGCAAGCGTACGTGAGCGTGTTAGATACGAGTGAATGGAGACAAATGGTTTTACGACTTGACTTGTTGTTGGAGTGTAAGCAAGGTAACATTTATGAAGGTACAGTGGACCCCCGCTTAACGATCACCTCCCAATGCGACCAATTATGTAAGTGTATTTATGTAAGTGCGTTTGTACGTGTATGTTTGGGGGTCTGAAATGGACTAACCTACTTCACAATATTCCTTATGGGAACAAATTCGGTCAGTACTGGCACCTGAACATACTTCTGGAATGAAAAAATATCGTTAACCGGGGGTCCACTGTATTCAGGGAAACCGGCAGGCTGGACTTGATTCCTGGAGATGGGAAGTACAGTGCTGGCACTCTGAAGGAGGGGTGTTAATGTTGCAGTTTTATAACTGTAGTGTAAGCGCTCCTCTGGCAAGACAGTGATGTAGTGAATGATGATGAAAGTTTTTCTTTTTCAGGCCACCCTGCCTTGGTGGGAAATGGCCAATGTGTTAATATAATAAATATTCTTAGTATCAAAGTTGACTACTAATACAAACTAACCACTAATAGTCCTCATGCTACTAGTTAGTCAACTAACATCAAAGTTTTCAAGAGCACGAGCAACAAATTAGAAATAAATACTAGTTGCTAACTTTGCCACCAGGACATCAATGCAATATCTCATACAGTAGAGTACTGTATGTCATCAATTATCCAGGACTGATCTACCTGGAGGGTATTCTGGGGATCAACACCCCCGCGGCCCAGTCCACGACCAGGCCTCCCAGTGAATTAGGGCATGATCAACCAGGCTGTTACTGCTGGCCGCACAGTCCAACATACGAACCACAGCCCGGCTGATCCAGCAACGACTAAGTATCTGTCCAGCTCCCTCTTGAAGGCAGCCATGTGTCTACTGGTATTTCCCTTATGCCTAGTGGGAGGCTGTTGAACAGTCTTGGGCCCCAGACACTTATGGTGTTTACTCTTACTGTACCAATGGTGCCCCTACTTTTCATTGGGGATATTTTGTACTGCCTGCCCAGTCTTTTGCTTTTGTAGGGAGTGATTTCTGTGTGCAGATTAACCCTTTGAGGGTCGACAGGCCCTCTCCGAAACTCGTTCTCAGGGTCGGCCAAATTTAAAAAAAAAAAAAATTATTTTCTCTTATGAAAAGATAGAGAATATTTTCCCGATCATAAAGACATCAACAGACATCAACCAAATCTTTCAGTGGGCTGCAGAAAACAATATGAAGTTCAACGATGAGAAATTTCAATTACTCAGATATGGTAAACATGAGGAAATTAAATCTTCATCAGAGTACAAAACAAATTCTGGCCACAAAATAGAGCGAAACACCAACGTCAAAGACCTGGGAGTGATCATGTCGGAGGATCTCACCTTCAAGGACCATAACACTGTATCAATCGCATCTGCTAGAAAAATGACAGGATGGATAATGAGAACCTTCAAAACTAGGGAGGCCAAGCCCATGATGACACTCTTCAGGTCACTTGTTCTATCTAGGCTGGAATATTGCTGCACACTAACAGCACCTTTCAAGGCAGGTGAAATTGCCGACCTAGAAAATGTACAGAGAACTTTCACGGCGCGCATAACGGAGATAAAACACCTCAATTATTGGGAGCGCTTGAGGTTCCTAAACCTGTATTCCCTGGAACGCAGGAGGGAGAGATACATGATTATATACACCTGGAAAATCCTAGAGGGACTAGTACCGAACTTGCACACGAAAATCACCCACTACGAAAGCAAAAGACTTGGCAGACGATGCACCATCCCCCCAATGAAAAGCAGGGGTGTCACTAGCACGTTAAGAGACCATACAATAAGTGTCAGGGGCCCGAGACTGTTCAACTGCCTCCCAGCACACATAAGGGGGATTACCAACAGACCCCTGGCAGTCTTCAAGCTGGCACTGGACAAGCACCTAAAGTCAGTTCCGGATCAGCCGGGCTGTGGCTCGTATGTTGGTTTGCGTGCAGCCAGCAGCAACAGCCTGGCTGATCAGGCTCTGATCCACCAGGAGGCCTGGTCTCAGACCGGGCCGCGGGGGCGTTGACCCCCGGAACTCTCTCCAGGTAAACTCCAGGTAAACACCAAAAGTTTGAAATTTGATAGAAAACTTACGGAATTATGCTCTCGCAAAGTTAGCGGTCTCGGCGATGTTTACGCATCGGCGATTTTGCCCACTTTGAGCCCCATTTTCGGCCAATTTCACTGTACTAGTCGACTAAAAACATGAATATTCCGCTAGAACTCCATTTTTTCTATCGAATGGGTGCAAGAAACCACTCATTTATGAAATACAACTATCCAGTACAGTGGTCAGAATTTAGCAATTTTGCCAATTTCACACAAATTTCAAAAGATGCCAATTTCCGAATAGGGTCCAGAATAAACAAGAAAGACATTCCTGGCACTAAAATGACATTTCCTCTAGTCATTAGTCACGTCTCAAGGCCCCTCTTATATTCTTTTGCTTTCCAGTTTGAATTTTTATTTTCACAAAAAATATAAGATTTACTGTTATGCAGACTACTGCATTAGTGTAAAAAATGGTATAAATATTATTGGTGCACTTGTGAAAGAATATTAGACTCACCAGTTGACGTGTATTGCACGCTTGGCACGATTTGTTTACTTTTGAAGTTTGGTAAAAATCGAACATTTCTGCTACTTTGAGCTCAATTTCAAGGCACCTTTCTTTGTAAAACCAGTCAAAATCATCTCAATTTCTGTAATATGTCTTCCATTCTATAAAATGAGACCAAGAAAACTAGAATACAACAATAAATACCATACGAAAATACACTGCAAAGTCGCTGATTTATTAAAAAAAAATGGTCAAAGTTTTTTTTTTCTCATTATGCACTGTGTGCTGCAGGATTTTTTTTAGACTGTGCACACTGACCACATAGACCCATTCTTTCATATGAAGGCATACCAGCTTTCTCCCACTAGATTTGAGGCCGCTAGAATTTATGAGTACTAGTACGTCAAAAACCCCTACGCGTAAGACGTACTAGTACGACCAAAACCCTCAAAGGGTTAAGGATCATTCCTTTTAGGATTTTCCAAATGTAGATTATGATGCATCTCTCTCGCCTGCGCTCCAGCGAGTACAAGTACTTCAAAGTTTTACAACTGATGTTTTGATACATTTTCCATAAGAACATAAGGAGGAGCACCACAGCAGGCCTACTGGCCCATACTAGGCAGGTCCTTCTCCAACACAAACACAGACAAAAATATTTGTCTCAATCCAGCAGCCAAATACAGTGGAACTCCAGTTTTTATACTTAATCCATTCCAGAAGGTCGATCTAAATCCGAAACATATGAAAACCAAATTAATATTTCCCATAAGAAATAATGTAAATACACAATTAATGTATTCCAGACACCCAAAAATATTAACAAAAAATACATTTTTTAAAGAAAAAATATAGTTTTACATATAGAAAACAATGAGAAATATAAATGACTAATTTTAATGATAAATGAACATTACATACATTTACTAAAGACCCTTGTTGGCGTATTGAAGGCGGCGAGGAGGGGAGAGGGAGTCGAAGTTATCGTTTGGAAGGGAAATCCCCTCCATAAGGACTTCAGATATCAAAGCCCTCTCTGGGGTTACTTCCCTTCTTTGTTTTTTACTGGCGCTGGACCCTGTCACACTAAAAATCTGTCCAGAGAGCTCTGTTTCTGGCGTCTCTTTAAGATTTGCCTAAAGTGGGACAAGGTATTGTCAGTGAACATGTTGTAGATACAGCTTGTATCAGCTTTGTCAGGGTGATATTTTTCAACAAAAGTTTGCAACTCATTCCAGTTTGCACACGTCCTTAACCCTTTGACTGTTTTGGTCGTATATATATGTCTTACGAGCCAGTGTTTCGGACGTATATACACTCAATAATTCTGGCGGCTTCAAATCAAGCAGGAGAAAGCTGGTAGGCCCACATGTGAGAAAATGGGTCTGTGTGGTCAGTGTGCACCACATAAAAAAAATCCTGCAGCACACAGTGCATAATGAGGGAAAAAAAACTGACCGTTTTCTTGAATTAAAACGCCAACATTGAGGTGTATTTTCGTATAGTATTTATTGTTGTATTCTCGTTTTCATGGTCTCACGTGATAAAATGGAAAACATATTGCAGAAATAGAGATGATTTTGATTAGCTTCACAATGAAAACGACCTTGAAATTGAGCTCAAAGTAGCGGAAATGTTCAATTTTTACCAATGTTCAAGAGTAAGCAAATCACACCACACGTACAATACACGTCAACTGGGGAGTCTAATATTCTTTCACTAGTGCACTAATATTATTTATACCATTTTTACAATAATGCAGTAGTCTGCATAACAGTAAATTTTGTATTTTTTGTATGAATAAAAAATCAAAATAGAAAGCAATAGTAATATAAGAGGGGTCTAGAGACGTGACTAATAAACAGAGCATATGTTATTTTAGTGCCAAGAATGTCTACATTGTTTATTCTGGACCCTATTTTGAAATTGGCATCTTTTTTAATTTGCGTGAAATTGGCCAAATTTCCAATTTCTGACCACTTTAATGGGTAGTTCAAATCGGTAAATGGGCGGTTTCTTGTACTCAATTGATAGAAAAAATGGAGTTCTAAAGAAATAGCTATGAGTTTGGTCAACTGGAACAGAACTGGCTCAAAGTCGGCAAAATCGCCGATGCGTATACGTCGCTGAGACCACTAACTTCACAGGAGTGTAATTCTGTGAGTTTTCAGCCAAATTTCGTAATTTTGGTGTCATTACCATCGGGAAAAGATTCTCAATCATCTCATAAGAAAAAGTAATTTTTTTTTCCAAAAATTCTGCGGCATAGAATGACAGTTTCAGAAAGGGGCTTGCGACAGTCAAAGGGTTAATCACTGAAGAAGGCACATCCTTCCCTCTCTCTTCCTCCTCCTCTAAAGCAATTTCCTCAGTTGTGGTCTGTTGCTATTCCAGATGAAGGTGTTGCAGCTCTTCAGTGGTTAGCTCTTCCCTGTGGTCCTCCACCAACTCTTCCACATCCTGGCCACTCACATCCAACATCACATCGTCTTTCTCACCTTCTTTACCACAGGGCTGGCACTAGGAACTTTTTGGGGGCCCATGGTGGCTTATTTCACAGTCGCAATCAATAAACAAGCACAAAAATTGTGAAATGTTTCAGATGAATGCTCACTCAACCAGTGACAATGTCAGACTGAGACACGTACATGACGGCGTCACGGGAAGCAGACGCGTCTGATACGTACAATTTCCGGATGAAGGTACAAAATCCGGACCAAAATTTTGCCCAAAAAAGTGTTCTAAATCCGAATTGTACGATATGCAGACCGTACAAAAATCGGAGTTCCACTGTACTGCTAAGAGCAATATCTATGCAACAAGAGCCACTGAAAGATGTTGCAGTCATTGTGGTTGAAAATGTTAGGCCTATGAAGTAGGCTTCTTCAAATACAGAGGAGGACTGCTTGTACTAAATCTGTACTAAATTTGTACTTAATTTGTACTAATCGAAATTCGTACTAATCTAAATTCGTACTAATCAAAATTTGTAATAATCAAAATTTATACTAATCTGAATTTATACTAATCTCTAGTTGTACTAATCTAAATTTGTACTCATCAAAATTTGTATTAATCTAAATTCTTACTAATCTAAATTTGTAATCTAAATTCATACTAATCACAATTTGTACTAACTGAAATTAACACTAATCAAGACTAATACTAATCAAGATTAATACTAATCAAGATTAACGCTAACCAAAGTTAGCTCTATTCAAAATTAGTGCTATTCAAATTTTGTGCTAATGGAACTGTTGTAACCAGAATTTGAGTTAACGGAACTGTGAGAGCAACCTGACTGTCTGCCACACCTTCACCCTCAACGGTGCCAGATAATTGATGATCAACTCTACAACTTAACATCAGGGTGGAGGAGGTTAGCAGAGGTGATCAAGTTGGATTGTAACATGACCTTAACCCAGGGGGTCATCACAACCTTAAGCCAGGGGGTCATAACGACCTTAAGCCAGGAGGTCGTAACATGACCTTAAGTCAGGGGGTCATAACATGACCCTAAGTCAGGGGGTCATCATGAGCTTAAAGCAGGGGATCATCATGACCTTAAGCCAGGGGATCATCATGACCTTAAGCCAGAGGGTTGTAACACGACCTTAATGCAAGGGTCATAGCACGACCTTAACCCAGAGGGTCATAACAACCTTAAACCAGGGGGTCATCAACTTACTTTCCGGAGAGCCTTGTCTTGTGTTTTGGTGAGAACATCACGCAGTTTCTCTGACTCCTTCTCCTTCTCCTTATATGCTCGTGCCAGGTCAGAGTACCTGCCAGAGGACACTTGTTCACAACATTGACAATACATTTTACAAGGAAGTATGGCTTAAAAAAAAAAAGATTTAGGTTTCTAAACAAAATAACATCAAATTATGTTGATTATATGGAAAACTAAAGTGTACGAGCAGCAGCGCAATTATTATTATCAATTATTATAAAATAATTATATCATATCATTATTATTATATCATTATCAGTATTTTCATATTATTATAATTATAAATATCATTATTATTATGTGGAAGAAATACGTCCATAAGGGTCATAACAGTACCTAAGAATTGTAACATCCTCGCTCATCCTTCAGAGTGCAGTCACTGTACCTCCCACTTCCAGTACTGTAACATCCTCACTCATCCTTCAGAGTACAGTCACTGTACTTCCCACCTCCAGGACTCAAGTCCAGCTAACTCATTTCCCTGAATCCCTTCACAAGTCACCTCTCTCACACTCCAACAACACACTCATTAAGAACCACTGTCTTCCACTCACTCCTAACACACACACACACATACAAGCCTGCAGGATGCTTCAGCCACTACAGCTTAAAGCCTGTTTATATACCTTCATTTGTCAGCTTATCCTTATCCATCCTTCCTATATGTCTGAACTACCTCAGGTACCCTCCTCAGCTCTGTTAATAGTTAAGTATTGTAGATAGTACACTACTATCATAACACTGTAACTACACTGTAGATAGTATACTATTGTAACTACTGCTGCAACTACACTGTAGATAGTATATGCTGCAAAATACACTGTAGATAGTATACTATCATAACTACTGCTGTAACTACACTCTAGCTAGTACACCACTATCATAACTACTGTTGTAACTACACTGTATATAGTACATTATTGTAACTACTGCTGTGACTACACTAAAGACAGTACACCACTATCATAACTACTGCTGTAACTACACTGTAGATAGTACACCCCTATCATAACTACTGCTGTAACTACACTGTTGATAGAACACCACTATTACAACTACACTGTAGATAGTACACCACTATCATAACTACAATGTAGATAGTACACCACTATCATAACTACAATGTAGATAGTACACCACTATCATAACTACAATGTAGATAGTACCCCACTATCATAACTACAGCTGCAACTACAAGCAGATAATGATGGTGGGATGACAGCTAGAGGCCAGTCGTACCTGCCCTTGTACTTGTGGTATCGTTGTCGCATCTTAAGGTAGGCCTGGTACACCGTGTCCTTACTAAGTCGTTCCACGGTCGTTGTTGTAACTGTGTTGTTGCTGTTACTGTCTTCCCATTCACTGGATGACTCCAAATCACTCTGTCAATGAACAGTTAAGGTACAGTGAAGGAACGGTGAAGGTACAGTGAAGGAACAGTAAAGGTACAGTCAAGGAACAGTGAAGGTACAGTGAAGGAACAGTGAAGGTACAGTCAAGGAACAGTGAAGGTACAGTGAAAGAACAGTAAAGGTACAGTCAAGGAACAGTGAAGGTACAGTGAAGGAACAGTGAAGGTACAGTCAAGGAACAGTGAAGGTACAGTCAAGGAACAGTGAAGGTACAGTCAAGGAACAGTGAAGGTACAGTCAAGGAACAGTGAAGGTACAGTCAAGGAACAGTGAAGGTACAGTCAAGGAACAGTGAAGGTACAGTCAAGGAACAGTGAAGGTACAGTCAAGGAACAGTGAAGGTACAGTCAAGGAACAGTGAAGGTACAGTGAAGGTACAGTGAAAGTACAGTGAAGGTACAGTGAAGGTACAGTGAAGGTACAGTGAAGGAATAGTTAAGATAAGATATACTTTATTTCAGCATGATACAATGTTTATACAAAGGTGTATAACATTAAGGTGTACTTGTGTGTGCTTGTACCTTAATAAACTATTTATACTCAACTGTCAGCATGTTGCAGATAATGTTTATATACAAACTGAGAGAACAAACATTCTGGTAATTTCAAAACGACTCTGGCGTTGGCACAACCACCCTGGGATCATCACAACCCCAACAACAACAACCCTGGGATCATCACAACCCCAACAACAACAAAACTGGTAACCCCAACAATAACACTGGGGTCATCACAACCCCAACAATAACAACCCTGGGGTCATCACAACCCCAACAATAATAACAACCCTGGGGTCATTACAGTCCAACAATAACAACACTGGGGTTGTCACAATCCCAACAATAATAACAACCTCGGAGTCATCACAATAACCCTAGGGATGTCACAACCCCAACAGTAACAACACAAGCTGATAGACTTGAGAAGCTTTCCTGATTTTTTTTTATTTATTAACACACTGGCAGATTCCCACCAAGGCAGGGTGGCCCGAAAAAGAAAAACTTTCACCATCATTCACTCCATCACTGTCTTGCCAGAAGGGTGCTTTACACTACAGTTTTTAAACTGCAACATTAACACCCCTCCTTCAGAGTGCAGGCACTGTACTTCCCATCTCCAGGACTCAAGTCCGGCCTGCCGGTTTCCCTGAACCCCTTCATAAATGTTACTTTGCTCACACTCCAACAGCACTTCAAGTATTAAAAACCATTTGTCTCCATTCACTCCTATCAAACACACTCACGCATGCATGCTGGAAGTCCAAGCCCCTTGCACACAAAACCTCCTTTACCCCCTCCCTCCAATCTTTCCTAGGCCAACCCCTACCCCGCCTTCCTTCCACTACAGACTGATACACTCTTGAAGTCAATCTGTTTCGCTCCATTCTCTCTACATGTCCGAACCACCTCAACAACCCTTCCTCAGCCCTCTGGACAACAGTTTTGGTAATCCCGCACCTCCTCCTAACTTCCAAACTACGAATTCTGTGCATTATATTCACACCACACATTGCCCTCAGACATGACATCTCCACTGCCTCCAGCCTTCTCCTCGCTACAACATTCATCACCCATGCTTCACACCCATATAAGAGCATTGGTAAAACTATACTCTCATACATTCCCCTCTTTGCCTCCAAGGACAAAGTTCTTTGTCTCCACAGACTCCTAAATGCGCCACTCACCCTTTTCCCCTCATCAATTCTATGATTCACCTCATCTTTCATAGACCCATCCGCTGACACATCCACTCCCAAATATCTGAATACATTCACCTCCTCCATACTCTCTCCCTCCAATCTGATATCCAATCTTTCATCACCTAATCTTTTTGTTATCCTCATAACCTTACTCTTTCCTGTATTCACTTTTAATTTTCTTCTTTTGCACACCCTACCAAATTCATCCACCAATCTCTGCAACTTCTCTTCAGAATCTCCCAAGAGCACAGAGTCATCTGCAAAGAGCAACTGTGACAACTCCCACTTTATGTGTGATTCTTTATCTTTTAACTCCATGCCTCTTGCCAAGACCCTCGCATTTACTTCTCTTACAACCCCATCTATAAATATATTAAACAACCATGGTGACATCACACATCCTTATCTAAGGCCTACTTTTACTGGGAAATAATTTCCCTCTTTCCTACATACTCTAACTTGAGCCTCACTATCCTCGTAAAAACTCTTCACTGCTTTCAGTAACCTACCTCCTACACCATACACCTGCAACATCTGCCACATTGCCCCCCTATCCACCCTGTCATATGCCTTTTCCAAATCCATAAATGCCACAAAGACCTCTTTAGCCTTATCTAAATACTGTTCACTTACATGTTTCACTGTAAACACCTGGTCCACACACCCCCTACCTTTCCTAAAGCCTCCTTGTTCATCTGCTATCCTATTTTCCATCTTACTCTTAATTCTTTCAATAATAACTCTACCATACACTTTGCCAGGTATACTCAACAGACTTATCCCCCTATAATTTTTGCACTCTCTTTTATCCCCTTTGCCTTTATACAAAGGAACTATGCATGCTCTCTGCCAATCCCTAGGTACCTTACCCTCTTCCATACATTTATTAAATAATTGCACCAACCACTCCAAAACTATATCCCCACCTGCTTTTAACATTTCTATCCTTATCCCATCAATCCCGGCTGCCTTACTCCCTTTCATTTTACCTACTGCTTCACGATCTTCCCCCACACTCACAACTGGCTCTTCCTCACTCCTACAAGATGTTATTCCTCCTTGCCCTATACACGAAATCACAGCTTCCCTATCTTCATCAACATTTAACAATTCCTCAAAATATTCCCTCCATCTTCCCAATACCTTTAACTCTCCATTTAATAATTCTCCTCTCCTATTTTTAACTGACAAATCCATTTTTTCTCTAGGCTTCCTTAACTTGTTAATCTCACTCCAAAACTTTTTCTTATTTTCAACAAAATTTATTGATAACATCTCACCCACTCTCTCATTTGCTCTCTTTTTACATTGCTTCACCACTCTCTTAACCTCTCTCTTTTTCTCCATATACTCTTCCCTCCTTGCATCACTTCTACTTTGTAAAAACTTCTCATATGCTAACTTTTTCTCCCTTACTACTCTCTTTACATCATCATTCCACCAATCGCTCCTCTTCCCTCCAGCACCCACTTTCTTGTAACCACAAACTTCTGCTGAACACTCTAACACTACATTTTTAAACCTACCCTATACCTCTTCGACCCCATTGCCTATGCTCTCATTAGCCCATCTATCTTCCAATAGCTGTTTATATCTTACCCAAACTGCCTCCTCTTTTAATTTATAAACCTTTACCTCTCTCTTCCCTGATGCTTCTATTTTCCTTGTATCCCATCTACCTTTTACTCTCAGTGTAGCTACAACTAGAAAGTGATCTGATATATCTGTGGCCCCTCTATAAACAAGTACATCCTGAAGTCTACTCAACAGTCTTTTATCTACCAATACATAATCCAACAAACTACTGTCATTTCGCCCTACATCACATCTTGTATACTTATTTATCCTCTTTTTCTTAAAATATGTATTACCTATAACTAAACCCCTTTCTATACAAAGTTCAATCAAAGGGCTCCCATTATCATTTACACCTGGCACCCCAAACTTACCTACCACACCCTCTCTAAAAGTTTCTCCTACTTTAGCATTCAGATCCCCTACCACAATTACTCTCTCACTTGGTTCAAAGGCTCCTATACATTCACTTAACATCTCCCAAAATCTCTCTCTCTCCTCTACATTCCTCTCTTCTCCAGGTGCATACACGCTTATTATGACCCACTTTTCGCATCCAACCTTTACTTTAATCCACATAATTCTTGAATTTACACATTCATATTCTCTTTTCTCCTTCCATAACTGATCCTTCAACATTACTGCTACCCCTTCCTTTGCTCTAACTCTCTCAGATACTCCGGATTTAATCCCATTTATTTCCCCCCACCGAAACTCCCCTACCCCCTTCAGCTTTGTTTCGCTTAGGGCCAGGACATCCAACTTCTTTTCATTCATAACATCAGCAATCATCTGTTTCTTGTCATCCGCACTACATCCACGCACATTCAAGCATCCCAGTTTTATTAAGTTTTTCTTCTTCTCTTTTTTAGTAAATGTCTACAGGAGAAGGGGTTACTAGCCCATTGCTCCCGGCATTTTAGTCGCCTCATAAACACGCATGGCTTACGGAGGAAAGATTCTTTTCCACTTCCCCATGGACAATAGAAGAAATAAAGAACAATTTAGAAAAAGGAGAAAAACCTAGATGTATGTATATATATAAGCATGTGCATGTCTGTGAAGTGTGACCCAAGTGTAAGTAGGAGTAGCAAGATATCCCTGTTATCTAGTGTGTTTATGAGACAGAAAAAGAAAACAGCAATCCTACCATCATGCAAAACAGTTACGGGTTTCTGTTTCACAGTCATCTGGCAGGACGGTAGTACTTCCCTGGGTGGTTGCTGTCTACCAACCTACTACCTACTTTCCTGATGTCTATTTTTTTCATGTTTTCTTGGATATCATTTACATTATGGTGGGTATTACTCTGCACACAGTATAAAACCGTGTCTTAGCTGGTAAAATGTGGTATTTTTTACTGATATGCAAGTGATAGCTGACAGCAGATGAGAGCCTGTCATATTTTTGCACATACACAATTTCTGACCACTCCGGGTACATCCATCAACTTTAGTGCTAAAGCCTCGACCATCCACTTAAGCAAACCATCCATAACTTTCCGCCTCAGCCCAGTAGGGCCACAGCATGGAAATATGTCGCATTGTCTGAATTTTGGGTTATCCTGGTGGGTAATCTACACATATGCTGATATGTATGATAATTTATTTAACTGTATTTATGTGTATCTGAATAAACGTACTAAATCCCTCTCCACTCTGTTTAAAATCATTGACATATACCAACAGCCAAAATATAAGTAATAATATGTCTTTAACATTCATAGTTTTAAGTAATGAATTAAACATAATACATAATAACAATAAACAAAATTACAATATTATTTTTATTTTTGTAAGATTCTGACCTAAAAAAAAAGTTTGGAATTTCTTGGGTTCCCGGAACATAACCCAATTTTTCCCATAAGTTCTTCAGCGTGTTTAACACAGCTTTGTCTAACACTGAGTTTCAAGACCATAACTATCATGCTAATCTACTGCACTATATAATGGGTCATTCCACAGTAGTTGTTAGTGTTATTACAGTGTTGGTACAGTGTTGTTGTACAGTGTTATTACAGCTTGTTGTTACTACCTGTGGTGTGGCTAAGTATACTACCTGGGGTATGCTGAAGTATACGCCAGGAACTTCATATATGGGGAAGAGAGCAGTGCTGACATCACTGCTACTGACATCACTGACAGCGGAGTCGCGTCGCACCCGGGGGGTGGTCAGGCTGGGGGTCACAGCTAGCGTGGGGTCGAAGGTCACACCCGCCACCCCACCCTCCCCCGGGGGGTCACTGGTGGTGGTGGTGGTGGGGGTCATTCCGCTTTCAGCATCGCTCAGGTCCACCAACTGGAAGCCGGACTTGCTGGGTGACCCTGAGGCAAAGATGTAGTACACACCTACTTAATACACTATACACAGTATACACCGTTAACAGATGGCAATAGAGGGGCATAAAATATGCAGTTATTTATGTAATATGTGCACTATGTGCAGTAAACAGAGTTAAGATCGAGATCTTAATACTGGAGCATAAAATACAGAAATATTTACATAATACATGCACTATACAAGGAATACGCAATTAAGGTCAAGACAGTAATCAGTGCCGGATTTACTTATACACTTGGCAGCCTGAAGACTAGGGCTTCAAAATATAGGCCTCCAGCCAAGGTGTCATAGGCCTTTCTTACACATGCTGTCATACTGCACTGTAATCCTTCAGCAATGTTCCTTGTACTCCAAGAATAGTACAATAATACTCTAAAACCCCACTTATACAGCAGGTTAGGTTTCAGGCTACCATCACCTTTGATATACCCTTGAAGATTTACTGTTATGCAATATTGTAATAATTGTACGGTAGGGCCCCACTTTACGGCGTTTCGCTTTACGGCGTTCCGCTAATATGGTCATTTCAAATTATGACCAAAACTCGTTATACGGCTCCCCCCACCTGACTTTCTAATATGGTCACCACGCCCCACCTGGTTTGTTTACATTCTCTGAGAGATCCGTAAGCACTCTCTCCATTTTGTCTGGAAACTCCAAAATTTCAAGAGTTTTTAAAAGTTATTTCATATTTTATATATACTCTGATAATTATACTTATGCATACCTGTACCTAAATAAACTTACACACTGTGCTGGCGTGCAGGTACATATTAAAATCAGTAAGAGTGTCTTATGTCTCCAGACATCATATTAGTAATGATAATAATAATCATCAAGTCTCATTTAAATGTCGTATATTACGTTAATATACACATTTTCATTAATCCATCTATGATATTTTTTTCAAAATTATATAATAAACACGATGCATAACATATAAAGATGATAAATACACCCCACAGTAGAATAAATAAACATAACTATGAGATGTGGTAGCCTTATAACTTTTACAAGTGATGGCAAGAATAACATTTTCTCTAATCTAACATAAATGTGTTACTAGGGGTAACTGTAAAAAATTATTTCCTTCATATGTATGGAAGTAAGTTTATTCAGGTACATACAAATACAGTTACATAGATTATCATACATAACAGCATATGTGTAGAGAACCTAGGATAACCCAAAAAAGTTAGTGACTTATTTCCATTGCCTTCACTCAGAGCATCATTTCTTCTCAAAATGATGTTACATAAGAATGGGAGTGTTCTTCTTTATTTATTCTACCGTATCAATGTAGAGACAACCTGTACACAATGTAACTTGTACACAAACCAGACGTGTACACTTCATTTACAAAACTTACCTTCGCATGGTTTGTTTATATAACTCTGCGCCTGTCCTCTCTCATGTACTCATTCTTTCTCTCTCTCATTTATTCATTTTATCTCATTTGCTTACTCCTGACCCTACATTAAGACTACAAATATTTTAAGGTAAGTAATGAGTGAACTGTATATACATTTTATCGCTCTGGGATGCTTAAATATCATAGAATAGTATGTGTGGGTGGGGTGGCCTGGTAAGGTAGCCTGGCTGACTACCATACATACCACACTTGATTTCTTACAATAAATACTACTTGTCTCACCCTAGATTAAGACTATAAATATTTTAAGGTAAGTAATGAGTGCACTGTGTGTGTGTATTGTACTTTTTTATTGTTTTTGATGCCTAGTTCTATTGCTAACTTAATATATGTTAGTGTAAACTTGTTATCTAGTATTTGTATGCATTTATAAGTGGGAAAAAAAGGTGTTCCACTTTACGGCGGTGGCCTGGAACCTAACCTGCTGTATAAGTGGGGCCCTACTGTGTAAATAATATCAGTGAACGAATATTAGACTCGCCAGCTGATGTGTACTGAACAAATGACATGATTTGTTTACTCTGGAAAATCAGCAAAAATCAAACATCTTCATTACTTTGAGCTCAATTTCAAACTATTTTCAGTCCAATGAGACCAAGAAACTGAGAATACAACCATAAAAACCATACAAAAATACACTGCAAAGTTGCAGTTTTAAACCAAAAACACTGTTGCAGTTATTTTTTCATTATGCACTGCATGCTGCAGGATTTTTTTTATATGGTGCACACTTACCACATAGACCTAGTCTCTCATATCTAGGCCCAAATTTACCACTCACTGCCTATCTGAGTGAGCTGAGCTCATGGTGTTGTACAACAGCACTGACCTTGAAAGGGTTAATACACTATACACATAATACACAGTTAGCATGGTAATACTGGAGCATAAAATGCATCAATACTTATTTTTTTATTTTTTTTTATTATCACACTGGCTGATTCCCACCAAGGCAAGGTGGCCCGAAAAAGAAAAACTTTCACCATCATTCACTCCATCACTGTCTTGCCAGAAGGGTGCTTTACACTACAGTTTTTAAACTGCAACATTAACACCCCTCCTTCAGAGTGCAGGCACTGTACTTCCCATCTCCAGGACTCAAGTCCGGCCTGCCGGTTTCCCTGAACCCCTTCATAAATGTTACTTTGCTCATACTCCAACAACACGTCAAGTATTAAAAACCATTTGTCTCCATTCACTCCTATCAAACACGCTCACGCATGCCTGCTGGAAGTCCAAGCCCCTCGCACACAAAACCTCCTTTACCCCCTCCCTCCAACCTTTCCTAGGCCGACCCCTACCCCGCCTTCCTTCCACTACAGACTGATACACTCTTGAAGTCACTCTGTTTCGCTCCATTCTCTCTACATGTCCGAACCACCTCAACAACCCTTCCTCAGCCCTCTGGACAACAGTTTTGGTAATCCCGCACCTCCTCCTAACTTCCAAACTACGAATTCTCTGCAATATATTCACACCACACGTTGCCCTCAGACATGACATCTCCACTGCCTCCAGCCTTCTCCTCGCTGCAACATTCATCACCCATGCTTCACACCCATATAAGAGCGCTGGTAAAACTATACTCTCATACATTCCCCTCTTTGCCTCCAAGGACAAAGTTCTTTGTCTCCACAGACTCCTAAGTGCACCACTCACCCTTTTCCCCTCATCAATTCTATGATTCACCTCATCTTTCATAGACCCATCTGCTGACACGTCCACTCCCAAATATCTGAATACATTCACCTCCTCCATACTCTCTCCCTCCAATCTGATATCCAATCTTTCATCACCTAATCTTTTTGTTATCCTCATAACCTTACTCTTTCCTGTATTCACTTTTAATTTTCTTCTTTTGCACACCCTACCAAATTCATCCACCAATCTCTGCAACTTCTCTTCAGAATCTCCCAAGAGCACGGTGTCATCAGCAAAGAGCAACTGTGACAACTCCCACTTTATGTGTGATTCTTTATCTTTTAACTCCACGCCTCTTAACAAGACCCTCGCATTTACTTCTCTTACAACCCCATCTATAAATATATTAAACAACCACGGTGACATCACACATCCTTGTCTAAGGCCTACTTTTACTGGGAAATAATTTCCCTCTTTCCTACATACTCTAACTTGAGCCTCGCTATCCTCGTAAAAACTCTTCACTGCTTTCAGTAACCTACCTCCTACACCATACACCTGCAACATCTGCCACATTGCCCCCCTATCCACCCTGTCATACGCCTTTTCCAAATCCATAAATTCCACAAAGACCTCTTTAGCCTTATCTAAATACTGTTCACTTATATGTTTCACTGTAAACACCTGGTCCACACACCCCCTACCTTTCCTAAAGCCTCCTTGTTCATCTGCTATCCTATTCTCCATCTTACTCTTAATTCTTTCAATAATAACTCTACCATACACTTTACCAGGTACACTCAACAGACTTATCCCCCTATAATTTTTGCACTCTCTTTTGTCCCCTTTGCCTTTATACAAAGGAACTATGCATGCTCTCTGCCAATCCCTAGGTACCTTACCTTCTTCCATACATTTATTAAATAATTGCACCAACCACTCCAAAACTATATATCCCCACCTGCTTTTAACATTTCTATCTTTATCCCATCAATCCCGGCTGCCTTACCCCCTTTCATTTTACCTACTGCCTCACGAACTTCCCCCACACTCACAACTGGCTCTTCCTCACTCCTACAAGATGTTATTCCTCCTTGCCCTATACACAAAATCACAGCTTCCCTATCTTCATCAACATTTAACAATTCCTCAAAATATTCCCTCCATCTTCCCAATACCTCTAACTCTCCATTTAATAACTCTCCTCTCCTATTTTTAACTGACAAATCCATTTGTTCTCTAGGCTTCCTTAACTTGTTAATCTCACTCCAAAACTTTTTCTTATTTTCAACAAAATTTGTTGATAACATCTCACCCATTCTCTCATTTGCTCTCTTTTTACATTGCTTCACCACTCTCTTAACCTCTCTCTTTTTCTCCATATACTCTCCCCTCCTTGCATCACTTCTACTTTGTAAAAACTTCTCATATGCTAACTTTTTCTCCCTTACTACTCTCTTTACATCATCATTCCACCAATCGCTCCTCTTCCCTCCCACACCCACTTTCCTGTAACCACAAACTTCTGCTGAACACTCTAACACTACATTTTTAAACCTACCCCATACCTCTTCGACCCCATTGCCTATGCTCTCATTAGCCCATCTATCCTCCAATAGCTTACCCTAACTGCCTCCTCTTTTAGTTTATAAACCTTCACCTCTCTCTTCCCTGATGCTTCTATTCTCCTTGTATCCCATCTACCTTTTACTCTCAGTGTAGCCACACATAATACACAGTTAGCATTGTAATACTGGGGCATTTCTGGTGTGTGGTACATAAGCTCTAAGATGTAATGCATTACAAGGCAGAACTCACCCTCATGGCTGTCTTCATCAATGCTAAAGAGATCCTTGTTGTGTCCGGCCGGTCGTATGTCCGATATGTCCACCAGCAGCTGTAACAACAATTATTATTATTATTGTTGTTGTGTCCGGCCGGTCGTATGTCCAATATATCAACCAACACCCATAACAATGATTTTTATTTTTGTTCCTATTATAATTATTATTATCACTATTATTGTTGTTGTGTCTGGTGGGTCGTACATATGTCCGATATACCCAGGAGCAGCTGTAACAATTATTATTATTATTACAGAGATTCCCCTACACACGAACATTCGTGTTACAAACTTTCGATAATAGGAACAATTTGCTCGGAAGTTGAAAATTTGGCCATAAAATTTAGTTGGCAATTCGCCGCATGGTGGCTGCAAGTCAAACATATACTGGACTTACTATGTAAACAATACATAGTAGGTTACTGTAACAGCATTGTTCATTTATGTGCTTGTGTTATCTCCACAAATTCAGTGTTATTTGTCTGGTATTAAGCACAAAAGCGGTAGTGATGCAGGTAGTGGTGCTAAGAAGAACCAGGCCATCATAATGGTAACAAAAGTGGACATACTATAGTAGTGAGGCAAAAAGATGCTGAACATTTGTACACCATGAATTGTTCCACCATGAGCACGATTCCCAAGAACAAGGACTGTAGTGCCCTGGTATCCATGGGGGATACCTTCCAAGAACTACCATGGATATCAGAAACAGTGGATAGTAGTGAACACTATATACAAGTCATTTTTGGTTTACAAACATACATATGATAAAGTGTAATTGTTAAATTATGCAATTTTTTTTTTTCAACAAACCGGCCGTATCCCACCAAGGCAGGGTGGCCCAAAAAGAAAAATAGAAGTTTCTCTTTTTAAATTTAGTAATCTATATAGGATAAGGGGTTACTAGCCCCTTGCTCCCGGCATTTTAGTCGCCTCTTATAACACGCATGGCTTACGGAGGAAGAATTCTGTTCCACTTCCCCATGGAGATAAGAGGAAATAAACAAGAATATGAACTGGAAAGAAAATAGAAGAAAACCCAGAGAGGTTTGCATATATATGTTTGTACATGTATGTGTAGTGCGGTCTAAGTGTAAGTAGAAGTAGCAAGACGTACCTGAAATCTTGCATGTTTATGAGACAGAAAAATGGACACCAGCAATCCTACCATCATGTAAAACAATTACAGGCTTTCGTTTTACACTCACTTGGCAGGATGGTAGTACCTCCCTGGGTGGTTGCTGTTTACCAACCTACTAAATGGAATTACACAAAATAAGTCTAGAATTATCACTTTTTCACTGATGGGAAGCACTTCACAGCTTCTCTTAGACTACACTGAATTAGTTAACTCTCCAATACTACAAAGGATCAGTTAACTTTCCAATACTACAAAGGATCAGTTGCATCTCCAATACAACAAAGGATCGGTTGACTCTCCAATACTACAAAAGATCAGTTGCATCTCCAATACAACAAAGGATCGGTTGGGTCTCCAATACAACAAAGGATCGGTTGGGTCTCCAATACAACAAAGGATCGGTTGGGTCTCCAATACAACAAAGGATCGGTTGGGTCTCCAATACAACAAAGGATCGGTTGGGTCTCCAATACAACAAAGGATCGGTTGGGTCTCCAATACAACAAAGGATCGGCTGCATCTCCTGGTTGGTGGCAATGCTTCAGATCTCAAGCTCAAGCTCCTGTTAATACATCACTCAGAACTTGCAAGTCACTAAACACCTAGAAAAAGCCTCACTTCCTACTGTGTGGAAAAGTAACCTGAAAGCCTGGGTCACTTCCCTCATTTATCAAGACTGGTTTTTTCACTATTTTATCTGAGGTTAGAAGTACTGCTGGCACATTCAACTGATAACACCTGAGGCTACATCCCTATCTTGGATGATTGTCATCCAAATGTGAAGGTAGTCTACCTGCCACCTAACACTACCTCCATCCTCCAGCCTATGGACCAGGGAGTGATTGCAACTTATAAAAAATATTATCCCCATTGCATGTTTCAGCAGGCAGTGAAGGCAACTGGGGGTAACTCCAAGATGACCTTGCACCAGTTTTGGAAGGCCTACGATATTTATAAGGCCATCAAGAACATGGATTCCTCATGGTTTGAGAAGGTGGAAGAATAATCTACGAACATTATCTGCAATTTAGTCACCTTCAGTAGGAGGCCGGATCCTGATCTCCAGGATGACTTCAAGGAACTCCTTACTGCTGACCAAAAGGACCTGACCAATGAAGACTTCATGGAGCTGGAAACTCAGAGAAAGAAGCAAGAAAAAGAAGAGGAAGTGTAAGTGGTTCTGGAACCAAAGCACTTCCAGACAAAGTTGATGGCAGAGGGGTTTCATTTGCTTGAAGAATCTCCATCATTGTTCTCCATCGCTGTTTGAATTGCAGGACCCAAATGTGGGATGGTACACCAGGGTTTCAGCAACTGTCCATGATGCAATTCACTGCTACCATCTTATCTATAAAGAGAAGGCAGCCACCACCCAGACATCCTCAGACCACTTCTTCAAGAGGCTATATAAAAGTAATCACTGCCATCCACTGCAGATGCTACCATATTCAGGCAAACACTTTCTCACTGTCTTTTATCAAATTTATATTATTTACGAACTTTTATAAACATTATAAACTTTACTTCATTTATAAGACATGTTTTGTTTACTAGTGTACAGTATGTATTTTTCTGGTGTTCACACGTATTTTTAACCCTTTCAGGGTTGGTGCTGTACTAGTACAGCGTGCACGCCAGGGTTGGTGCTGTACTAGTACAGCGTGCACACCAGAGCTGGTGCCATACTAGTGCAGTTTGCACGCCAGGGTTGGTGCTGTACTAGTACGGCGTGCACGCCAGGGTTGGTGCTGTACTAGTACGGCGTGCACACCAGAGTTGGTGCCATACTAGTGCAGTTTGCACGCCAGGGTTGGTGCCATACTAGTACGCATAAATTCTACTGCCTTCAAATCTAGCAAGAGAAAGCTGGTAGGCCTACATATGAAAGAATGGGTCTATGTGGTCAGTGTGCGCAGTATAAAAAAAAATCCTGCAGCACATTGCATAATGAGAAAAAAAAACTCTGACTGTGTTTTTGGTTTAAAACAGCGACTTTGCAATGTATTTTCGTATGCTATTTATGGTTGTACTTTAGTTTTCCTGGTCTCATTTTATAGAATTGAAGACATAATACGGAAATTGAGATGATTTTTATTGGTTTCACAATGAAAAGCACCTTGAAATTGAGCTCAAAGTAGCAGAAATGTTCAATTTTTGCCAAAGTTCAAAAGTAAATAAATCAAGTTATGCGGCCAATACACATCAACTGGTGAGTCTAATATTCTTTCATAAATGTTCTGATATTATTTATACCATTTCTACACCATTTTTACACTAATGCCGTGGTCTACATAACAGTAAATCTTCTATTTTTTGTGAGAATAAAAATTCAAAGTGGAAAGCAAAAGAAATGTAACAGAGGCCTGGGGACATGACTAATGAACAGAGGAAATGTTATTTTAGTGCCAGGAATGTCTTTCTTGTTTATTATGGACCCTATTTGGAAATTGGCATCTTTTGAAATTTGTGTGAAATTGGCAAAACTGCCAATTTCGAACCACTTTATTGGATAGTTGAAATCGGTAAATGGGTGGTTTCTTGTACTCATTCAAAATAAAAAAATGGAGTTCTAGCGAAATAGTTATGATTTTTGTTAACTGGTACATTGGAATTGGCCGAAAATAGGGCTCAAAGTGGGCGAAATCGCCACTGCCTAAACATCATCGAGCCCGCTAACTTCGCAAGAGCATAATTCCGTGAGTTTTCCATCAAATTTCATACTTTTGGTGTCATTATGATCAGGAAAAGATTCTCTATCATTTACTAAGAAATAATAATTTTTTTTTTTTTTTTTTGAAAAATTTCCGACCGAGAACAAGTTTAGGAGAGGGCCTGCCGACCCTGAAAGGGTTAAACAATGTACACTTGTAGGTTACTCTAACCTCATGCGTACATATATTACACTACTGTACAATACTGTTCATGTATGTATGTTGCACTTACCAATGACCAAACCTGTTCGTACGTTGGGAGAGACTGTAGTTGAGAATACAGTGTGTACAAAAATACAGTAGCTATGGAAATACTTCAGTTAATAAAATACATCAATTATGAAAATATATTAGCTATGAAAATACAACAACTATGAAAATACATTAGCTATAAAAATACATCTGAGTGAACAAATACAATTGAAAATAGTTGAAAACAGAGTGAAAAAATAAAGTGTACCTGGTCTTGTAGCGAGGGTGTGTCGGTGTTCTTTCTGTGTTCACCAGGTGATGTCCCTGTTCCACTGAACGGCGACAGCTGTTGGAAGTTGAACACAGAATTAGTTCATCCGCTGAGGCAAAACTCAGGTTAAATAAGTTGAAAATATCGTAAGCTGAAAATCTTATAATCAAAAATATCTTGTTAAAAATGTTATAAGTTGCAGAGAACATGTATATAAACAATTAATTATTTTTTTATTATTAGCACACTGGCCGATTCCCACCAAAGCAGGGTGGCCACCAAGGCAGGGTGGCCACCAAGGCAGGGTGGCCACGAAGGCAGGGTGGCCACCAAGGCAGGGTGGCCCGAAAAAGAAAAACTTTCACCATCATTCACTCCATCCACTGTCTTGCCAGAAGGGTGCTTTACACTACAATTAAACTGCAGCATTAACACCCCTCCTTCAGAGTGCAGGCACTGTACTTCCCATCTCCAGGACTCAAGTCCGGCCTGCCGGTTTCCCTGAATCCCTTCATAAATGTTACTTTGCTCACACTCCAACAGCACGTCAAGTATTAAAAGCCATTTGTCTCCATTCACTCCCATCAAACATGCTCACGCATGCCCGCTGGAAGTCCAAGCCCCTCGCATACAAAACCTCCTTTACCCCCTCCCTCCAACCTTTCCTAGGCCGACCCCTACCCCGCCTTACTTCCACTACAGACTGATACACTCTTGAAGTCATTCTGTTTCGCTCCATTCTCCCTACATGTCCGAACCACCTCAACAACCCTTCCTCAGCACTCTGGACAACAGTTTTGGCAATCCCGCACCTCCTCTTAACTTCCAAACTATGAATTCTCTGCATTATATTCACACCACACATTGCCCTCAGACATGACATCTCCACTGCCTCCAGCCTCCTCCTCGCTGCAACATTCATCACCCATGCTTCACACCCATATAAGAGCGTTGGTAAAGCTATACTCTCATACATTCCCCTCTTTGCCTCCAAGGACAAAGTTCTTTGTCTCCACAGACTCCTAAGTGCACCGCTCACCCTTTTCCCCTCATCAATTTTATGATTCATCTCATCTTTCATAGACCCATCGGCTGACACATCCACTCCCAAATATCTGAATACATTCACCTCCTCCATACTCTCTCCCTCCAATCTGATATCCAATCTTTCATCACCTAATTTTTTTGTTATCCTCATAACCTTACTCTTTCCTGTATTCACTTTTAATTTTCTTCTTTTGCACACCCTACCAAATTCATCCACCAATCTCTGCAACTTCTCTTCAGAATCTCCCAAGAGCAGTGTCATCAGCAAAGAACAACTGTGACAACTCCCACTTTATGTGTGATTCTTTATCTTTTAACTCCATGCCTCTTGCCAAGACCCTCACATTTACTTCTCCTACAACCCCATCTATAAATATATTAAACAACCACGGTGACATCACACATCCTTGTCTAAGGCCTACTTTTACTGGGAAATAATTTCCCTCTTTCCTATATACTCTAACTTGAACCTCATTATCCTCATAAAAACTCTTCACTGCTTTCAGTAACCTACCTCCTACACCATACACCTGCAACATCTGCCACATTGCCCCCCTATCCACCCTGTCATATGCCTTTTCCAAATCCATAAATGTGACAAAAACCTCTTTAGCCTTATCTAAATACTGTTCACTTTACACAAATAACCCGCACATAAAAGACAGAAGCTTACGACGACGTTTCGGTCCGACTTGGACCATTGACAAAGTCAATGGTCCAAGTCGGACCGAAACGTCGTAGTAAGCTTCTGTCTTTTATGTGCGGGTTATTTGTGTATCGTTCCAGTCACGGTATTGTGCCTTTTTGTTATTTACTGTTCACTTTATATGTTTCACTGTAAACCCCTGTTTATATTAAACAATTAATATAAACAATATAAGTCCCTTAAATATACAAGGCATTTAGTCAGCCTTAAAACTAGTATATACAGTAGACCCTCATATTACATGGTAGTTACGTTCCTGAAAATGCCATGTTAGATAAATCTGTGTGATAGAAACTAAAGAACTTATGGGAAAAATAAGGTTACGTTCCTAGGACCCCCCAAAAGCCAACAACTTGTTTTTAGACATCCAGATCTTACAAAAAAAAAAAATGATGATTTTTTTTTGCTTAAGACTACAAATGCAACAGAAATAATATTATTCACCTTAGATTGTGGTTGCTGGTGTACATCTGTGATTGTGAAGAGTGTGGAGATGCATGGTGTAGCCCTACTGGGCTGAGGTGGATGGTTGTTGGTTGTCAGCAGAAGTGGATGGTTGAGGTTCTGGTACTATAGTCAATGGTTGTATTGGAGTGTGCATAAATTCTGTAATGTATCTCTGACTTTTTCTATCCTGTAGTACATTATACATTATTTCAGAAGCTTGGTACTGCCAGGTTGGAGTCAGAGTCCATTGATGCAACTAGTTTTTTCATCACTTTTCTTGTGTAGTTACACCTGAATGACTTAATAACTCCACGATCCAGTGGTTGTATTAAAGATGTTATAATTGGAGGTAAAAATACAACTTTTACATTATTATTTTTTTTTATTTATTATCACACTGGCCGATTCCCACCAAGGCAGGGTGGCCCGAAAAAGAAAACTTTCACCATCATTCACTCCATCACTGTCTTGCCAGAAGGGTGCTTTACACTACAGTTTTTAAACTGCAACATTAACACCCCTCCTTCAGAGTGCAGGCACTGTACTTCCCATCTCCAGGACTCAAGTCCGGCCTGCCGGTTTCCCTGAACCCCTTCATAAATGTTACTTTGCTCACACTCCAACAGCACGTCAAGTATTAAAAACCATTTGTCTCCATTCACTCCTATCAAACACGCTCACGCATGCCTGCTGGAAGTCCAAGCCCCTCACACACAAAACCTCCTTTACCCCCTCCCTCCAACCTTTCCTAGGCCGACCCCTACCCCGCCTTCCTTCCACTACAGACTGATACACTCTTGAAGTTATTCTGTTTCGCTCCATTCTCTCCACATGTCCGAACCACCTCAACAACCCTTCCTCAGCCCTCAGGACAACAGCTTTGGTAATCCCGCACCTCCTCCTAACTTCCAAACTTCGAATTCTCTGCATTATATTCACACCACACATTGCCCTCAAACATGACATCTCCACTGCCTCCAGCCTTCTCCTCGCTGCAACATTCATCACCCATGCTTCACACCCATATAAGAGCGTTGATAAAACTATACTCTCATACATTCCCCTCTTTGCCTCCAAGGACAAAGTTCTTTGTCTCCACAGACTCCTAAGTGCACCACTCACCCTTTTCCCCTCATCAATTCTATGATTCACCTCATCTTTCATAGACCCATCTGCTGACACGTCCACTCCCAAATATCTGAATACATTCACCTCCTCCATACTCTCTCCCTCCAATCTGATATCCAATCTTTCATCACCTAATCTTTTTGTTATCCTCATAACCTTACTCTTTCCTGTATTCACTTTCAATTTTCTTCTTTTGCACACCCTACCAAATTCATCCACCAATCTCTGCAACTTCTCTTCAGAATCTCCCAAGAGCACAGTGTCATCAGCAAAGAGCAACTGTGACAACTCCCACTTTATGTGTGATTCTTTATCTTTTAACTCCACGCCTCTTGCCAAGACCCTCGCATTTACTTCTCTTACAACCCCATCTATAAATATATTAAACAACCACGGTGACATCACACATCCTTGTCTAAGGCCTACTTTTACTGGAAATAATTTCCCTCTTTCCTACATACTCTAACTTGAGCCTCACTATCCTCATAAAAACTCTTCACTGCTTTCAGTAACCTACCTCCTACACCATACACCTGCAACATCTGCCACATTGCCCCCCTATCCACCCTGTCATACGCCTTTTCCAAATCCATAAATGCCACAAAGACCTCTTTAGCCTTATCTAAATACTGTTCACTTATATGTTTCACTGTAAACACCTGGTCCACACACCCCCTACCTTTCCTAAAGCCTCCTTGTTCATCTGCTATCCTATTTTCCGTCTTACTCTTAATTCTTTCAATAATAACTCTACCATACACTTTGCCAGGTATACTCAACAGACTTATCCCCCTATAATTTTTGCACTCTCTTTTATCCCCTTTGCCTTTATACAAAGGAACTATGCATGCTCTCTGCCAATCCCTAGGTACCTTACCCTCTTCCATACATTTATTAAATAATTGCACCAACCACTCCAAAACTATATCCCCACCTGCTTTTAACATTTCTATCTTTATCCCATCAATCCCGGCTGCCTTACCCGCTTTCATTTTACCTACTGCCTCACGAACTTCCCCCACACTCACAACTGACTCTTCCTCACTCCTGCAAGATGTTATTCCTCCTTGCCCTATACACGAAATCACAGCTTCCCTATCTTCATCAACATTTAACAATTCCTCAAAATATTCCCTCCATCTTCCCAATACCTCTAACTCTCCATTTAATAACATGTGGGGTTAAATCCAGCAAAGCTTCTGGATAAGTACAGGAATTATCAAGAATGAAGAGAGCTTTGAATGTAAGGTTCTTGATGTGCAGGTAAAACTTGACTTCAGGAATAAAGTGATACTTAAACTAGTCAATAAATATTTCCTTAGTCATCCAAGCTGACTGATTTGATCTCCAAATTACAGGTAAGGTGTTTTTCCCTACACCTTTCACAGCATGAGGATTCTTTGAGCAGTAAATAACCATGGGCTTACACTTGAAATCACCTGATGCATTACTGCAAAGGAGCAAGGTGAAGCAATCCTTTGCTGCCTTGAATTTTGGTGCAGCCCCATGGAGAGTGGTCTCACCCACAGCCAAGTGGTGGCCTGAGCTATGGAAATATCAAGCAGGGGACACCCCAAAGTTTTTTCCCTCCTGCAAACCAAACCATGATGTATAAAATTATGCCGCAATTTTTCAAGTGTAATAACCAAAATATGCCAAATAAATCCATGTAATATGAGGGTTTACTGTATTAGAATAATACAATTAGTTTGTGTTAATAGGCGAGTGCTTGTAAATGTGACTGAACTAGTAGAATAAAGCGCATCACACACTGGACGGACGGTAGAAGGCACCTTTGCGGCTCACATTATTCAATTTTTATGCACTTATTCAATCGCATTTACTATAAAATCATACGTTTAGAAGCCTTGTAAAAGATCCAAGCATACAGTTGACTGTCAATTTACATGAGAATCAACTGTTATTTTATATGAGAATCAACCGAAAAATTTATTTTTTCCATCATGCACTGCATGAGGCAGGACTTGAACACTCACCACAAAGACCCATTCTCTTATATACAGTCACTCCTCACTTAACAACCTGTTTAATGACCACTCAGACTTACTACCAGCTCTCTGACCAGTATGCAAACCTAAGTAATGTGCATTAGAGCATACAGTACACTACTGTATAAACATTTCACAATACAACCTCTCCTCTCTTAATGATGGAGTTCCATTCCTAAGACCACATCAGCAAACAAATTCGTCACTAAATGAAGAGCATACTATAATGGTAGTGGGTTTGTGTCAACCATCTTTGATATTGTTTTAATGTCACTTTTGCACCATTTATAACATTTCTGGTATATTTTTAAATGTTTATACAGTAATGTACTGTATAATATAATAAACAGAATAGAGGAAATCAGTTCTAATATATGTACATTATTTAGGTACAGATACTGGTCAGAGAGCCCGTCTGAAGTCCGGGTTGATGGTAAACGAGTACGTATGTCTCTAAGTGAGGAGAGGCTGTATACTAAAAATGTCATAAATGGTGCAAAGGTGATATTAAAACAATATCTAAAGATGATTGACACAAACCCACAATATGCTTGAAATATCAGTGAGGGAAAGCTCCTTGCTTAACCACCAATTCGGTTAACTACCTACTCTTAGGAATGGAACTAGGTCGTTAAGTGAGGAGGGCCTGCATAGGCCCAAATTTACCACTCCCCCCCCTCACAGCTTATCTGAGTGAGCTGAGTTCATACTTAGAGTATACCTGGAGAAGGTTTCGGGGGTCAACACCCCTGCGGTGGATCAGGGTCTAATCAACTAGGCTGTTACTGCTCACGTGCAGTAAAATGACACCCACCCAGTTATGTGGGTGAAATTCATCCACATAATTTTGGATAACTACCACTGCTGCTGCTACCACTAGTACCACCACAACCACCACCACAACCACCACCAAGAGTACCACCACCAAGAGTACCACCACCACCAAACAACTGTGCATTACACCCAGAGCAACAGCAACCACCACCACCACAAAGCCTTGCAACCTGCAACATCATCATCAAGGGACACTCTTACAAGGTCACTGGAGTCGCTGGCGCCAGCCTGGGGTTGTCGCCCCGGGTCCGAATCAGACTTCTGCGGAAAACCAGCAGCAGGTAAATAACTAAGCAAATAACAAAGTAACTAAGCAAGTAAGTTTATTTAGGTAATAAGTACAATTATCTTAGTGCAAATTTCCCACCAGGATAACCCAAATAAGGTCACAGTGATGACCTTACTACTGTGACCTTATTGGTGTCCTGGTGATCTTTACTGTAAGAATATTATTATTATTAATACAGACCTCCATACAACAGAATAATTAATAATACAATTAAAAGCAATTTTAAAATAAAATAACCATATTAGTAAAAATAATAATAATAGTAATAATATTAATAAAAATAATAATACAAATAATAATAACAATAGTAAATGAGTGGAACCTCGGTTGTCGACTGCATTACTTGTCAAACAAATCACTTCTCAAACAAAACTTTGTAAATCAAAGTCTACCACTAGCACAATGATAAACAAAGCAGCTGACCTTGCCAGAGGTGCGCAAGTGATATCAAAGCAAAGGCCACAAATTGAGGAGGTTGATTTGGATAAACGAAAAACAGTTACACGGTGATAGTGTTTGAGGCCATTATTTGTGAAAAAACGAGGCAGTTGCAACCTCCTGAAAAAAAAAATGGAACAAGTGCTGAAACTCAATCCTTCAAGGCTAGTAAGGATTGATTTGATAATTTTAAGAGAGTAAGTGGCATTTATAGTGTGGCCAGGCATGAGGAGGCTGCCAGTGCTGACAAAGTGGCTGTTGAAAAGTATGTTACTGAATTCCAAGAGTACGTAGAGGCTGAGGGGTTTGTGCCCAAACAAGCGTTTAATTGTGACGAGATAGGCTTCTTCTGGAAGACAATGCATATGAAACATGTTACATAGCATATAAACATGAAATGTTCATATGCTATCAAGGTGTCGAGTGGAGAGTAAACATTATGTTTTCTCTGGTCCAGCTTCAGAGAAAGCGTGCATGAATCTGCGTTGGCCCAGTAAACACCCTTAATAGTACACAAGGCTTTTGTTTACAATTCTTGGTATAAATTATTCATTACTTCTCCCTTTGTTTATGATGGCATCTAGAGGTAGTTAGAAACGATTAAACTCAGTGAACATGGTATGTCGATGGTAATAATATGGCTGTGGGACGCAGTGTATATAGCTGGTAGGTATACACTGGGACGTAGTCCGCCTGGGACTACAAATAAATACTATTCACTAACAACAGTCTTCAATAAAGGTATGTAATATTCATTTATCATTAAAATTAGTCATTTACATTTATTTCTCATTGTTTTCTGTATAAAAAACTATATAGCTATTCTCTATAAAATGTACATTTTGTTAATATTTTTGGGTGTCTTAAACAGATTAATTAGATTTACATTATTTCTTATGGGAAATATTATTTCAGTTTTCGGCCATTTCAGATACAGACCAAATTTCTAGAACGGATTAATTATGAAAACCGGGAGTCTACTGTAATTAGTACATTTCTAATAAATTATTATATTGTCATTTGAGGTCTGGAACGCATTAAATCTATTTACATTATTCTTTATGGGAAAAATTGCTTTGATTGTCATCCATTTTGGTTGTCGAACTGACATCTGGGATAAATTAAATTCGACAACCGAGGTTCCACTTTAATAAAATAATAAATAAAAATATAAAATGTGACAAAATTAATATTAAAAAATGACAATAATAATAATAATAACTCATTAATAAAACTAACAAAATAACAAATGAAACAATCATCAAATAATAATAATAATAATAATAATTTTAGTATAACAATAAAAAGGAAAGGTTCCCAACCCCATAATAAAGCGCTAGACCCTAATGGTTTACTATTGTTCTAGTCGAGACAATAACAAGGTCCCGGAGATGTAGCCTGGAGTGGTGTAGTGACCCGACCTTCATGGCTCAGTTGGTAGCTGTTTCGAGGTCATGTGAGCAAGGGACCTGGGTTAAATACCCGGCACAGATCATCTTCACCTAGCAGTAATTATGTACCTGGGTGTTACTCACCTTACACCTGCTGTCAGTGTTCACCTAGCAGTAACTAGGCACCTCGGTGGGTTACATAACACTTCATCTAGTTAGGAACTTAAGTCACCTAGCAGTAACTGGGTACCTAATTAAGTCATTTAACACCACCTAGCAGTAACTAGGTAAGTCAGGTAGGTAAGTCAAGTAACACTTCACCTGAGTTACCTAGCGTAGACAGCCTGTACTGTCTGCACAGACAGCCCATGCTGTCTGCCAGCTTAGTTCATATTTCGCGCCACTCAAATGTTGCCCTCTGTAGCCAGGCCTCTCGGTGGGCAAGCCAGCCTGCCTGCCCTTGCCTCTCTCTCTGACTCACACAGCGGCCTAGCAGGAAGACACAAGTACTCCCAGCTCTCTCTCGTGGGATGGCCCTGCCCGGGCCATGGGCACAAACACACAAGCCTGTGTACCCACCATGACTTAACAATAAAGTAAGAAGCCTCCGAAGACGTTTATCATTTAACCACCCGCTTGCAGCACCTACCGAATAATCCTTTTTATAAATGGTGGAAAGCGGTGGTCGCAGCAGTTGTGTTTGCCCTGAGAGAGGAAGAGGTATGAAGTCATCTTCACTTTATCACCCTATACAAGAAGCATCCGTCTCTCAACGAGTTATCCTGAAGTCGTGTCTGCACGTTTGAGCACCCAGACACAGGTACAAGCAGGATCCAGACAAAATTTGCCAAAATTCTCCGAGAATTGTAAGTGACCCCACGCTACAGCGTCCCACGCTGTTTCTCAAGTCACGTGTTCAGCGTCACTTGTATGTTGCTGTTGTTGTTCAGCTCAGCACAGCTGTTTCAGCAAGCCAGAGGTGAGCTTTGTGGTGATTTCTGCGTCCAGTGTGAGCTTCTCCACGTGTTTGTGGGTGGGGGAGGAGGAGAGGAAGTGGCCGTTCCTCACCTTGCCCATGCTCGCCCTACTCACGCTCACCCGTCTACCATACACTCACCACTGCCCACTCCCTCTGCTGTGTTTTCTGCTGTTTTCCGTGTGATTCATTGCCAGAGCTGTGTATCCGAGTGCCCGAGGCCACTCGAAGCTACGTGGATCAGCATGCCATGTAGATCACGATGCCACGTGGATCACGACGTCACGTGGGTGTGGGCGATGTCACGTGGATCTACCAGCCACGTGAGTTACCAGATGTCCCAGGCCTCATGCTGTGGTCTGCTGCCCGCATCACATTGACGTAACCGGCGATGCTGCCCGACTTCATGACGTCACGATGTCTGCTGATGTCACCTCATGATGTCTGCCTGACGTCACCTCGCGACATCACGCCTGACATCACATAATGTCACATCGAGTGCTTCTAGTAATTATTTCAGTATTGTCGAGAAGATTAAGAGAAGATATGTCGTGTGTTAATTCCTCTCAGTCAGTGTTCTCACATGTTAGTGTACCGCATGTACCGCGGTGTGTTTAAAGTTTCCGTGTGTCCAGTGAGGTCTGAGCCAGACCTGAGTAGCACCACTGTGTTAAGTCACCCGTGTGACCAGTGTGTTTGACAGCTGATGTCAAGACAGCCCCGAGTGACCAAGCCCTCTTGTACAGAAAGCTTTCATGCTCGTCGCTTGTGATGTTCTGCAAAATAGTACCTGCTACGATTCCCATCGAGATTTGCTTCACTTCACCTCCAGACCGTCAGAGTGCAGTTATATGTAGAGAAACAAGTCTGGGGACGCTTAGACTAACCTCTGCTAAAACTCCAACTGCCGAGAGAATGATACTCGTCAAGCCGCAGCCAGCCCTGTCGGCAGGCGCTGTGTCAGCCTCATGTCACAAGCTTCAGTGAGCAGCCTGCACAAAGAAGATGTCACTTTGACTGCTAGCTCGCTCACTGCAGTCTGGTGTATGATGTTACAACTCACAGATGTTTCGTCCAGTCGTCTCTGCCATGACTCGCTCCACAACTCGCTCCACGCTCGCCGGCAGTGACAGCCCAGCGACAGTACCAGTCGAGAAGTGTCCTCCTGAGTCGCTTGCCAGAAGTCCTGCCCAGTTGCCGAGTTTTGTCGATGCCTCACTCGAGGGCACCAGCATGTGTCCCAGGTTGAGTGAAAGCCTGCAGCGACTCCTACGATGACTGCTTCACCGTTCCAGAGGAGACCGTAACCTGTTACGTCACAGCTCAGCCACAGCGATGACTCCTGTGCTGCAGTATCTGTCCAGACGCAGGAAGGAGTGCAGTGATGCCCTTCGACGCTCACTGCCTATGACCACGATGTTTAGCACACCCCACATGTTTTTTTCTTCCCTCCCTGTAGGAAGTTTTTTTTCCATGTCCATATGTATATATATGTTTTTATTTTGTGTTCTGTGCCCTGTTCCTACGAGAGAGAGACCGAGCTCCTTTTACCACCAGTATTGTCGCGTCGGGACGACGCGCGGTAGGTGGCCGAGCGTATGTAGACAGCCTGTACTGTCTGCACAGACAGGCCATGCTGTCTGCCAGCTTAGTTCATATTTCGCGCCACTCAAGTGTTGCCCTCTGTAGCCAGGCCTCTCAGTGGGCAAACCAGCCTGCCTGCCCTTGCCTCTCTCTCTGACTCGCACAGCGGCCTAGCAGGAAGACACAAGTACTCCCAGCTCTCTCTCGTGGGATGGCCCTGCCCGGGCCATGGGCACAAACACACAAGCCTGTGTACCCACCACAACTTAACAATAAAGTAAGAAGCCTCCGAAGATATATCATTAACTACCCGCTACCAGAAGACCAAATAATCCTTTTTATACTAGAAGTACCTAGGTGAGTAACCTAGCTATGTATCTAGGTGAGTCAGCTAGGTACCAAGATGTCACCTAGCTAGGTACCTAGGTGAGTCATCTAGCTAGGTACCTAGGTGATTTGCCTAGCTAGGAACCTGAGTTACCTAGAAGTACCTAGGTGAGTCACCTAGCTAGATACTTAGGCGAGTCATCTAGCTAGGTACCTAGGTGAATCACTTAGGTACCTAGGTGACTCATCTAGCTAGGTACCTAGGTCAGTCACC